TTTTTTTTTTTTTTCATTATTCAATAAGCAAATGTAGCCCCAGCAGAGGGGTTCTTTCAGAGAGTAAAAAGTTGAATGTTAATATGTCAGCAAAAATTCAATGTGCTGGTGTGTTGCATGTCAGTGGATAAAGTCAGTAGTGGTGTAATGATTATCTTGGAATACAATAATATTAATAATAGTCCTTCTTCATTTCCTGTTTTAAATGAACAGTGACACTCAAGTGACGTACTAGGGGAATCGAAACCAAGTGAGCTTTTTTTTAATCCCAAGACAACTCTGCTTACTGGTTCATATTGTTGGCGTGGAAACTCCCTTAAAAACACTGGCTGCTATTTATTTGCTCAAGTTAAACTGTGTTTCTGTCACTCACAAAGCTGTGCTCAACAAGCCATTCCACTGACTCTTGACGAGGACTGCAGCTTTAATCATAAGTTTCAAGTAATTTCTCCCCCTCATTCAAACTAAGCGCTACAGGGGTTACTCAGCGTGCAAGCTTGGTTGATTGGCGAACAGTAAAGGCAATGCTTGCGTTATCCTGTTTAAAGAAATATACACATTTTCCTGTTATTTTGGGCCATATGATAAATAGAAGTGTCTATGCTTGAGTAAATTAAACCATTTACCAAAACTGTGTTGCCAAAAATGTCTTCTCTGCAGGAAAGGGTGTGTATATGTGTGTGCAGGGGGAAAAGAAAGCTGGAAAATATAAAAGGTTGATTACATCTGATAATTGTCTGTTTAAAAAGAATCAGCCAGAAACGCTGCTCAGATGTCCTCCATGTTTTGATTATTGTAATCCAACTTGGATTCCAGCTCTTGGCCATTTGTAGCACTACTTGGCAGTATCCTGCAGTTTTGCGGCTGTAACCTGAATATTTTGGTGCCAAGATTTTAAAGTTTTGTGCTCTTAATCAAAAATAATAATAAAAAAATATAAATGCTTACTGATGAAATAATTCAAATGTGGATTATTAATAAAAGTGCCTTTTGAAAAGTTGTCCAAAGTATTTTCCTCGTCAGAAAATTGCCCAGTTTATCATTTTCATCAAACACTATTTTTGTTTATGTTTTTTCACAGTCCCCTGGTCTATCTTTAGATTTTACATTATACAAATCTTTATATACTCACACTGAGATTTTTATATGTTTACACTGAACTCTGGGTATGTACAGATTTCATGCTTGGTTCCCACTCCATGGTTGAAATGTCTAATCAGTGTAGCAGAAGCACTGAATTCATACTACACTTATTTATTCATGTTCATTTTCTCCTCAGAACTGCAGAGTTTGCCTCCAATGTGGAACGCGAACCAGCGGCCAATGGCACCACACCAGCCTGCTGTGTGAGAACTGTGTCCAAAATCAGGACCCTGCTCTGTGTTGTCCTATGTGTGCCTGCATTTTGGACCCTGAGCACCATAAAGACGTAGTATTCTGCCACACTTGTAAAAGGTAAGGGACTTGTGTTTAACTGTAATACCACACATGCAGTGCTCCTTTTTAATCCTTATTTACTATGGTGCACACTGCTGTTTAATGGTAACATGGTGAAACACTTGGATAGCATACTGATAGTTCAAATTTTAGGATTGCCCCATTAGACACTCTCTTAAATTCCTTTGCACTCCTTTCAGATGGCTACACCTGGAGTGTGAGCGTCAGAACTCAGGCCAAGCAGAAATCCACCCCAGAGAGGACTATGTTTGTTCCAACTGCAGGTCTCCTGCTGCAGAGCAGGCGCTACATCCAGAGGATATGGACACCGGCCCAGAGCTCAGCCCTCAGCCAGCCTCCATGCACACAAACTCTGAGACTGGCGTACAGCTGGCTCAAAAGCACACAGACCTAGAACTTGGCAATCAGCTGCCTCCTGAAATGCACAAAGACCCAAAACCGGAATTACTTGCTGTTCCATTGCACTCAGATCCAGAGCATCTACAGGCTACTGTCCAGGAGGAGAAGCTGGCCACATCAGACACGAAGCCTGGTAGGTCTTTGTTCCAAATTAGATTATACACAGATTACACTAAGATCCTTTCACCTTGTCTTTTGATATCTTGAAATCTTTTATTTTCATCTGTTCTCAAATTTATCCCTCATAAGAATCTAAGCTGTTTCTCACCTTGTTAATCATATCTTGTTATTGCAAGGACAAGGAAAGTTATTCTTTTGATTATATGAAATAGCAAACACTGAGGTTATATGATTAAGTATGAAAGACCATCTTTGTCTTTGTAGTTAAGGATTCATTGACTCAGCCTCTATCCACGCAGAAGCAGTTGAAAGTCTCGGCTATGAAACATCAATTTGTGCTGTAACATCAGTACTGATAAAGTTTTGAAAGTCGCAGTTGTTGCAGATTAAAGTACTGAAGAGTTGTTTGGGCAAACACTAAAGAGAAGCACTCCCTCTTTTATTTGGAGGCCTTTATGAGGACTCCCAAATAAACAGATGGTGTCCTACCAGCAACAGATTAAAGCAACTCTATAGCCTTTGTAATTCTGTGTTTTGAAAATGTAAAGTACTTTGTTTCCCCATACTGTCTCTGGGGAAGATTATATGTAAGGTCTGTCACTATTAATGAAGAACTGATCATCTGCTTTACTTCAAGGAGCACCTATTTTTTTTCCAAATATTGCTAGCATGCATCAAAATTTAACATAAAACATTTCTACTTGAGACAGGCACCAAGTTGACAGATTTTGCTTGAGCTTTAAATAAACTTTGCAGGTAACAGCCTAAATTATCAACTTGGCAAAATTTGCTAGTGATTCTTCACTGGGGGGAAAAAACGTAGCCCATTTACCTTGTGGTTTTCAGAAGCAGGTTATGATGTAATGATGCAAAGCAAGCTGTCTCAGCCATGCTGGATTCAAAATATGGCCGTTGATTTAAGTTCCAAATATGAATGTTACATAGAAACCACTTAGAACATAGAAAGAAGTGCTTGTGTGTATGGGTGTGAAAGGGTGAATGAGGCAAGTTGTGCAAAGCGCTTTGAGTGCTCAGAGTAGAAAAGCATTATATATGAACCGTTCCATTTACCATTTGTGTTGTAGCTGTACCTCCGTAAGAACTTTCTGTGTTGTAACTGTAACTCTGTAAGAAGAAAATTTTCAACTGATTACATATTGTTTTCAAGTCAACACATTGGCGCCATGGTTAGCACTGTTACCTCACAACAAGCAGGTCCTGGTTTCAAGTCCACCGTCTTTGGAGTCTGGATTTTCTCTCCGTGTCTGCGTGGGTTCTCTACGGTTACTCTGGCTTCCTCCCACAGTCCAGAAGATGCAGTTATTGGGGTTAAGTTATATGGTGATCCTAAATTCCCCATATGTGTGAATGTGTGTGTGAATGGTTGTCTCCCTATGACTGGTGATGTGTCCAGGGTGTACTCTGTCTCTTTCCTGTGGCAACTGGGACTGGTTCCAGCCCCTACACAACCAAGGATTAGATAAGTGGAATGGATGTTTTCAAGGCATAACCATCAAAGAGTTTTAGTACTGAACTTGAATTCAAACTTCTACTCAAGATTTGATGTGCACACCAGTTTTCTACGGATATCCCGAAGCTGAAGCATCATTCATGTAATAATAAAATTGAACTGCATCTGACTGTTCTTCCTGGTAGTTCCATTGTTTGTATTGCATTATGGTGCAAGCTTTATTGCCACTTTAAGTTGCACAGTGTTGGAATGCTTGCATGAAGCTCAGAGCTGCATCTCAATTCTGGTGCCTGTGAGATTTGCCAGCACTGGAGTGCAATATCAGTGAAATATATGGTTAGCTGGGGTTGCCAGTGGCAGCTCTGCTGCCCACTCTTGTCTAAGCAGCAGACTCCACTGATGAGAGAATGGATTGCAGTAGCATGATGGTGATATCGCTGATCCCCTGACTGCTAACCTGCCTTTGAGCTATATTGGCTCATTCATTCATTATTACTCACACAGCTTGGCCGCACTGCTCACCATATAAATGTTCTCTCATTTTACTTTTCCTGTAGCTATTCACTGTTTCATTATCATTACTGGATTTACCTGGTGAGGCAGTGAGTTACTGGTTGTGGTTTTTAAAGACATGTGGAGTGAACTTGTTATATTGTGCATACATTTTTAATTGTTAACTTTTTAAAGTTAACAGTAAACACAAAACAGTATTATTCCTACCCTTCTCTTAACATGTCATACCCCTTTTACTTAAAATATAGTGTTTGGGGTTAAAGGCTCTGAACTGAACAGTTATAATTTTTCACTAGGTATTAATAGGACACTTTAAAAAAAGAACTAATCCGTACTTAATTTATGCTCTTTTTCCCCCCACTTTTTCCTTTTTTTTAAAAACATGTGATGATGACTATGCTGCCAGCTGCCCACTCGTGTAATGCAATTAAAGTCATTAACTGGAGCTGTTCATCACCTGCCAGGATTCACCACCCCTCAGGGTTTAACAACAGGCTTACAGTGACTTAACTGACAGATGCTGTTAGATCCATTCTGTGAATGCAGGCGAGGCCTGACTTTAGGCCTTTACTGCATTAATCAGAGCTGCATGTTTATCTAAACCGTCACCTTATTCACTGTAGGAGATATAGGAAGTAAGGTGTTAATATGAATGTGAATGCGTGTTCAGCTTGGTCAATAGCTGATGGCTGGAGATGGTTGGAGGCCCATCTCTCTAATTGACTCTCTGGCATCAGCACCGGATGAGCACCTGCAAGCTGCACAGTCATGAGCCCAGAGCACACAGACCCTGGGATGTTGGTTGTCATGGTTACTCCCTTCCCTGGCAGAGATGCGTAGCAGGTGCATGTGTGTGTCAGGATCAGTATGACATGGGAACTTGTGGATTGAAATGGTGGGCGCCTCCTTAAGACTAGGCTATCTGTACTGTCAGAGGGTGTCTGGCAGAATACTGGCTCAATGTTTGGATTCCTGATAGCCAGCAATGACTAGTTCTATTCATACCAGACTAGTCAAACGCATTGCTGTCTCTGCTATAAAACCAAATAGAAAGGGGGGTACACATTACAAAACCAAAGTGATGAGAGAAAACAGGAGAGACTATATTAATACCAAAATGAAGTCTGTGATACAAGCTTACCTCATGTGGTTTTTTGCACTGCGACCACTTGTTACCCAAAATCAACTCTTCTCACACACTTCTCACGGTGCTTTCACGAGTGAAAGAAAGTGATATTGGTGTCATTGTCTCAGGAAACTACATCATTGTTTAGTTCTGCTTGTTTTTACCAGCTGATTTGAGATGAGTGTTTTTAGAATTAATGGAAACATAATTTTTAGAGAACTGTCTTCTTGCTGGGTTTCCAAATCCATCTGTGCTTATGGGCTGCTTTCTTTATTCTTTAACCACTTTGAAGATATTGTGAACAAAGTTAGAGTCGTATTCTTGCTTTTAATGAAGTGATGTATATTTTATACCTAATCTTGTTAATATTGAATCTGTCTTTTAGACATCTCTGTGGGAGCAGACATAGTAGAGAGGCAGGTTACTGAACCTTCTGTCAAAATTCCAGCAGAAATTAAATCAGGTTTGTGCAGGCCACTTATTTATTTACCACTTTACTCATATTGATTTGTATCTAATAGTTTTTATAAAGTTTTGGTTAACTACAATGCTTATGGTTTATTATCAAAGATAAAATAATGTGTCAATTTTTTTTTAAAGATGTACATTTTCTACCAAATCTAAATCTTTGTCATTAATAAGCTAATTCCTTCTTCAGAAACAAAACCAGCAGTAAGAGCCCAGCTTGCATCTACAGAGAGTCATGCGTCTTCAGTGACTCTGAGCCAGGAGGCTATTCCAGCGCAACACTCTACGGAGGGACTACAGACACAGGACACCACAATACAAATCAAACCAGCAAATACTGAGGCCTGCCCTGAAAAGGGCATGGTCAACCCCAGCACAAAGGATTTTAAGGCCATCATCTCAACCACCAAAGAACCAGGTACTGCATCAGTACCCTTCACGGACCAACCGATGGTAGTCGCACTACCCCAGCCTTCAAATATGGATGTAGTCAGAGGTTCTTTCCTGGAAACTAATCCAAAAGAACTCAACAGTGATAGGAGAGAGGGTATTTTTCACAGAAACCTGGCAGAGACTGTTAAGCCCTCCACTTCTACATCAGAAGAGATGGACACTACACCGGAAAAGCCAAGTATGCCATTTCCCAGTTTGTCTTTAGAGGAGAAACCCCTTAAAACAACTGTGGAAAGGCTAGCTGAAATGGTTTCTTCACCTTCCCACTCCTCCCCTCTGGCTCGAGGGACATCTCCCAGAGAACTAACTCAGACCCAGATTCTAACATCAATGAGTGACCACAGCAGTGTAATGCCCACCACCACTCTCATAGCATTCACCCCCAAAATTGGGATGGGAAAGCCAGCCATCACCAAGAGGAAGTTTTCTCCTGGGAGACCACGAGTGAAACAGGTAGGAACCTGAACATCATGTCACAGCGACTGTTGATTTTTCTGTCCCCGTCTGTCTGATTCTGTGATGTTCCCTGTCCCACTAATAAACCAGATCAGTGTAGGTGAACAACTGGTGCTTGTATCTTGTGCACTCCTAAATCTATGTGGGTTGGTGTCCTGTGGGTTTATGAAATTAGATTATGTTGGGTTGAAAGAGTTGAAGAAACTTGTGGGGTTGAGTATATGTTTTTCAATGAAATTTTAGGACAACACAGTGAATGGTGCTCTATCCACTCTTTGCACTCTCTTTACATGAATGTGCACCACAAGATTAGTCACAGTGTTTATGTAAATCTGAGTTGAGTATGTTTTATTTTCTGTAGGAGATGCAATTTTAGCGCTAAATCACATTTTCCTGATGGCCTTCGCTATCTTCCACCTTTGGCATAGCAATCAGTCTCCCTGTTCATCCAATGTCCATGTTACAAACATCAGTCACTGTCCTGTTGAGGATGAGCATTCATCAAATCACATATTGCAGTGACCATTGCCATTATCACATCCTATTTATATCATTATTACACCATCAGTGACAGTGAGTGACTTGTGGCTATATTAAAAAAAACATTTAATTTTATAATATTAGTCTTTAGAGTTTATAATGTAAACTGAAAGCTGACTGTCAGCAAAATAAATTACACTCATGACTGTAATACACTGTGAATGATGCCAGTGAGGACAGACTAACTCAGTTGGCACCGTTTCTTTCTACATATATCCCATTTCTAAAATCAACAACATATGAATCCAACTAATTTGTTACACAAGGCCAGGAGAAATCTCTTCCCAAAAAACTTGAATGCTGCTTTTCTATTTAGCATGTTTTTATCTGATACACTCGTCTACTGAGGTACTGACGCAGTGCCCCTGTTTTGTCAACATGCCAAACATACTCGGTTGTCATGGCAAGAGGTAACAGGGCCTCCTTTCCTGCTTTATGGTGCCTTGATACTCCTGGCAAATTCTGCTGCTTGAAAAGCAACTAACACAGTGATGGTCTCCAAAGATACTTCTTAAGTTCATGTGCATGAAAGGGTTCGCTTTAACAGAGAATGCAACCTAATAACTCATCCTCTTTCTAGTCTGGCATATCAGATGCTCTCTTGTACCTCTGCACAGTTTGGGTGTGTATTGAGTGATTCCCAAATGGCTACAGTAGGAGCTCACTACATTTCTCTAACATCTTTCTTTGTATGTTTTGTTTCTTTGCTGGCTTGGTTTTTAAGTTGCTGCATTTTTTTTTCTTTTATTTTTGTCGCCCTCCTCCCTCCCTCTCTCCCTCTCTCACTTTCTCACCCACCCCTTCTTACCTTAGGGTGCATGGAGTCCCCATAGCAGTGTGAGCTCACCCTTGTCCTGGTCACCAGACCAGCCAGAGGGTTGGGACGTCCTAAAGACCAGGCAGTCCTCTGGCAGTCCCGGCTGGAGCATCAGAGTGGTAAATACCATGGCTCACCAGAGACGGCAGGGCAGCAGCTGCCCTCTGTTAGCCCTCTGTTTGCCAAAGTGACGCGCACTCCCTGAGTGTTCCTGAATGTCACTAATGTGTACTGAAGCCAACAACAACAATTACTGTAATCTTAAAGTGAGAGGGGTAGTCGCATACCAATGACTAAGCTAATGACGTTTTTAGGGTGAAAGTGAAATATTACTCTGTACAAACAAGATAATTTTGTGCTTTTACAGATTGGAGTTGCGTAATCAAGGGTATGGTATAGTGCTAAAAAGGATTTTATTTTTATTTATTTATGTAATTATTTTTTAACATGCCGCTATTCTGGTGCCAAGCCGAAATTCATGATGTGCAGTTCAAAAATCTCAAGCAGCCTCTTCATTTCTTTATATTTTGCCAGGCTTTATTGTTTTTGGGGGTTTTTTAAGTGATCATGAACAATTTTTCATCAGCCTTTGTGATCTTCTTTTAAAGTTTTCTTTGGACATTGGCTGTTTTTTCACTTATTTTCAGTCTAGTGCTTGTACCTGACCATTTCCATATGTTTTTGTTTATTAAGCCACTTAACACTGACCTATGAATCATTCAGGTTTTTAAAAAAAGGGACTGGTTCACCGGATGAACCAGTGTTGTTTGCCCACAGCAGATAATTTAGCTAAGAATAAATTTAAATTGTATCTTGAGTGTTAAATTGTATTTGTCAAAGATGACAGTTTTTCAGGCATATTTATGCACCAACAAAATTATTCATAAAGAGCTTTTAGCTAAAATCCTGGCATATCTCACATTGTATGCAGTGTGCCATTAAAAACACATTTGAGGAAACTGGTTTGTGGCGAACAAAAGAAAAGTGACAAGGGTAAGGAAGTTTCTACAGTACATGAACAGTATGTGAAAGCCATATCCTTAAGACATTGGAGGGGGGGGGAGAATCAGCAAACACCTGGCACAGTACCTGAAGAGATGCATCTCGTCCTTCAGTTGATCGATATGTTGTTCACTCAAGTCTCATCAGAAATGATCTCAGTCGAAGGATGGCTGTCAAACCATTCATAAGGAAGGGAAACTGGGAGAAGAGGTGGAGATAGTCCATGTTACTACATAAGAACTGACTGAACTGAAAGTCCTGTAACAGTCTGTAAGTGCAGTCTGTAAAGCTGCAATAGGTCTGATGGGGTGATTAAAACCAAATTTTTTAATTTTTGGTTCAGATCATTGTCAGTATGATTGGAGGAGGTCAGGAGAGTCATTTTTTTAGATGGCTATGGACACTCACTGTTTTACCAGTAAGTGTCCATAGCCATCTAAAAAACATGCAGACTCTGTTATAGCCATTTTCCTTGTTAAATGTAAAGAAACGGGAGTGGCTGAAGACTTTTGCACAGTACTGTAGCTCTCAGCACTGTATCCCCAATGATGTTTTTTGATACTGCGAGAAGCGCTGTGTAGTACAGGGACCCATATTATCTTAGCTGAACATGTCAATTAATAACACACAGGATAAACAATGTGGCACACA